GGATTGGATGTTTTCTAGAATCGTTTTAACAAATGTTCGTTAGGCAAACTTTTACTCGGATTAAAAACCGGGCGAAGCCGGGTACATTCGCTAAATACAGTTATTTACAAACCTTCGTTTGTAGCAAGATACTATTCCTTCAACTTTAAATTACCGAGTGGACCAATTAATACTGATTTTTTTCAACTTATCGAGTATTTTTCAAGGGAACCGGAAAATTTTCAAATTATTGAGAGTATAGACAAGTATAGATTCAGAAGGGATTGGATGTTTGCTAGAATCGTTTTAACAAATGTTTGTTAGGCAAACTTTTACTCGGGTAAAAATCGGGCGAAGCCGGGAACTAATCTCGCTAAAATTTGAGCAGGATAGAGAATTATATCTGGAAGAACTTTTTGTCTCACTTTTAACCAAGAAAAATTATAATTAGCCAAGTACTCAGCAACAATTATTTTTTAGTCAGAAATGATTATGACAATATTGCTGTATCATGCTTGATTGACATAAACAAAATTCTTTAGGGGAATATTCACTAAAGCAGTCCACGAGCGAAGCCAGATAATAATTATTAGTAAGCAGGAACAAAATTCTACCAGCGAAACATTCACTCGAGCAGAAGACACACGAAGCCAGGTCGTCTCTATATATAAAATATCGTTTCTCGGCCTTTTGGCTAAGATCATTTAGTATATCTCTAGATATTTTTATTTATATATATCTTTTTTTTTAAATCTATTCAGTAGAGAGAGAGAGCATATGTTTGATCGGAAAATATATTATATGAATATATAATGTAATGAATATTATTAACATCATTATCAATAATATTCGTTAGGCAAACTTTCACTCGGATAAAACCCGGGCGAAGCCGGGTACACATCCGCTAGTATATATATATATATGTCATGATATATTTATAAATATATAAATAAAATGGCTTGTGTGGGAGTAGGAGGAAAGGGAATGTAAGAGAATTAGAGGCTGGATCTAAGAAATTATTGTTTTATTAACAATAACATTAGATTAAGATGACAAAGAACAAAAGAGGCAAAAAGACAAGCGTAGTAGCAGAAACCAAAACTTAAACTACAGATGCAGTCGGTGTACCGCCAGGTCACGTGATGTCCAGTAGGAAAGGTGGCGCAACAGCTGATGTGCGAAGTTACTCTCCAACAGGGAAGTTAGAACAGCCAGGTAAAAACAACCTCCTTGGTTACCAGATGTCAAGCCTTGACTCCCCTCCACCTGGGGGTAATTTATATTACGCAAAGCAGTTTAAAAACAGCTCGATGTGAGGATCAAGGGACAGTTCACACCGAGGTGATCTCGACACCAATTGTTCCCAGAGTGGTCCTCGGACCTTCTCTCTTTCCTCCCCAATCTACTCCCCACGGGTTTTTGCTTCTGTATCCCGTTTCATGTGCGCCTTACCACTCACCACACAACTACCAAGACTACTTCACAAATCGTCCCTACAACTGCAAACTATCGAATGTGAAAAATTCAATTTTGAAGGAGAGAGAAATGAAGAGACCATGTGGCCTACCCTCAGTAGAGGAAGGCATTGAAGGAGGGAGAAATGAAGAGACCATGTCATGGTCTCTTCCATTCCTCTACTGAGGGTAGGCCACATGGTCTCTTCATTTCTCTCTCCTTCAAAATTGAATTTTTCACATTCGATAGTTTGCAGTTGTAGGGACGAAATCGCTACACACACATATATATAATTATTAAAAATAATAAGGGGCATATCCTGACTACTCAAATGAGCATTTTAGATTTTAGAACGCCATCTAGTGGAACAAAAAATGTACTAAGCTTTGATTAAGGTTGTTCAATGATATTTAAATGCCATTTTTAGCCTTTTAATTTGCATATCTGTACTGAATCCTGTTACACTTGTATATGCAAAGAGGTGCTTATACTTAAGTTCCAAGATGCCTAGATAACCAACAAAAGACATCTAAGAATAACAAAAAGAGAGGAAACTTACGTTCAGAAGGAGGAACCCCTCCAATATAGAGGCGGGTCTTAAAGGAAGTAGGTCTGTATACAGCCGGCCCGCCTGCGTACGCTGGCTCGGTCATGTCCAGCTTGAGAGTGACGTAACTCGGACCGTACTGGACAGTGAGGCTGTGCCAGCGGCCGTCACATACTGAGAACCTGGACTGTAGTTGCTTGGAAGCTTGGAGTGTTCCCGAGCCGTTGTGGACGGTCACCACGACCTGGAGTCATAGCATGGCGGCACTCAATACAACATGTACAGGCAAAACTACAGCATACTCAATACGACAACACTACTGTTGAAACCAGCACAAGAACAATCAGAACAATATTGTCTAAGCCACATGCAACAACAACAAACAACACATATGTATCACAACAACATGAGACAAAAATTACAGACACAATCGACACAATAGAAAGTAGCACGACTAAAATCAATACATAACAAATCAATTCATCAACAATCTCTCAACACAACAATGAATACAAACAACACACCAAATACAATTAGCCTAAAAGAAATTAACAAATCCCAATACAATCAACCCAGCAACAATGAAAACAACAGCAAACAACAATCAATACAACAATGAATACAAACAACACACCAGCAATCAAAATAACACAACAAATACAACAATGAATAAAAAACACACCAGCAACCAACAATCACAACAACACAACAAATACAACAATGAATAAAAACACACCAGCAACCAACAATCACAATAACACAACAAATACAACAATGAATAAAAACACACCAGCAACCAACAATCACAATAACACAACAAATACAACAATGAATAAAAACACACCAGCAACCAACAATCACAATAACACAACAAATACAACATTGAATAAAAACACACCAGCAACCAACAATCAATAACACAACCACAATACAACAATGCAAACAAATAACACACCAGCAACCAACAATCAACAATACAACAATAAATACAAACAACACACCAGCAATCAAAATAACACAACAAATACAACAATGAATAAAAAACACACCAGCAACCAACAATCACAATAACACAACAAATACAACAATGAATAAAAACACACCAGCAACCAACAATCACAATAACACAACAAATACAACAATGAATAAAAACACACCAGCAACCAACAATCAATAACACAACCACAATACAACAATGCAAACAAATAACACACCAGCAACCAACAATCAACAATACAACAATAAATACAAACAACACAACAATAAAGAACGATACAACAATTAAACCAACATAACAACGACAAACAATCAATATATCAAATACAAACAATATAACGACTAAAACAACAAATACATCCAACACAACAAACATAACAATCAAGCCAACACATACCACCAACCACCCAAAAAAAAAAAAAACATTTAAGACAAAGGTAAACTCACCGAGCCATTCCGTAACTCAATGGCCAAGGAAGGATCACTCTCCTGGGCAGGTACTGTACACAGGATGGCACCAGTCAGACGGTGGGTTTTAAAGTCCACTTTGAAGTTGTGTTCGCCGGCTACATCAAACTTGTCACCTGTACACGACAGTTGTCACCGTGTTGTCACAGCAGCCAGGGTAGTTACGTACTGTACAGAGCGTAGGCATCACCCGGGAAATAAGCTCCTTTCTCCACCGAGCTGAAGCAAGCACGGACGGCAGGGGCGCTGCTCAAATCCTCCAACACCCCAGACACCGTGACGTTCCGTAGACAGCCCTTGAATCCTTCCAAGCTGTGAGTCTGGAAACATAGAGAAAAAACCAAGATTTTTCTGTTGGGAAGAGATTTGTGATAGCACAACTCACGGCTTTGATAGCTGGCTTGATTTTCTCTGGCATACCTCCTAGAAACAGAGGTCTTTTCAGTTGTGTCTTCCTGTAGGCATTGGACCGTACGGTGTCATTGTCAACTGATAAGGTCAGGATATCTCGGGCCTTTATTAGAGTCACCTGAAACACGCCCAAAAGAGATCTGACTAGGGGGAAAACACCACATTTGTAGAAATTCAAAATATATGTTGTGCTATTTTTAAGGTGAAAATAAAATGTCCTGCCGGGAGATAGTGATCCATAAAAAGAAAGGTCACCTCTCCTCTTTAAATATATGTAAAAACTATGTGACATCTAATGACTGGCTCCGCAAACTAGCGGACACTAGGGTCAGTGACAAAGCCGAGACACCAGATAAACACCTCTTTGGCAAAATTTTTGACAAAATCAATAAGGAAGCTAGGTGAATCTATAAAAAGAAACCAAACCTTATATTCCTTATTGGTTTTGTCAGAGTGTAAAAGCAGGAAAGAATTGTTATAATAAATTTTATTGCCATTCTGGTTGATTCCACCAAAGCTGCTAGGACGACTTGCCTGATGCCAAGCGCCATCATTAAGCTGTCGACTAGGAGAGGTTGTCAGTCGGACAGGTTTGGAAGGTGGGATGTACAAGTTGACCTCTGCAGCTCCTTTGTTCAGTGACAGCAGAAGATGACAGGGACGGTGCAAGTTCCGTAAGAACACCAGCACGCCGTTGGGATAGTAGGTACGGAAGGAGAAGCTTATGTTGAAGCTGGGAAACAACAGCACAAACACCTCTAGCAACACATTAGAAAAGAGGGGTATATATGTAAATAAAATAATTATGAAAATACTTATATATATATTTGTGGCGACCACACTTTGCCTCAGCGAGCGCGAACTGGGACAAAGCTTCTCTACACATACGAGCAGTAGTGTGGCGGCCTCACTACGCCTCGGCAACCGCAAGCTGGGAGAACACCTCACTACGCATGCGCGGGCGGCATCCGGGACTCTTGCCACGCGCGTCGTTCGAACAACAAGGCTTGCTTCCAGCAGCCGTTACTTCTTTACTCTCTATATATTTCGGTGCTTTAAATGAATTAAATTATTTTAAAAAATAATTATAATCTTATCAGCGGCCTTTCCACACAAGCATTGGAGGAGTGTGGTAAATTACTTACAGCACCACAAAGTGGTCATCCTCCCAAATACTAACCGATCCTGACATTGCTTAACTTTGGTATATGGACGAGAATCGGTGTTATGGTATGGCTATCGACATTTGGTAATATATACCACAAGAAACACATTTCAAAAATAGTAATTACATATATTACAGTACATGTTTATCTCCCTGCCTTTACAATTTAACAAAATGAACAAGCAATCCAAGGCCAAGTTTCATTACTATGTCTCTAGCTTTCGGGCCAACATGCCCTTCAAAAGGAGAACTAGAAGTATGACTTCCAGCTAACTATAGATATCTTATAAATAAAAAAAAGAAGATATTTCTGTTGATTTTTGATCATCTTGAGGATTATGCTATGTTAATGCAGTCGTGGTAACAGCATAATATTAATGAAAATAGTTATCGAAAATAGCTTTAATTGAGCTAAAGGAACATATAAAAAACATAATTTGATAAAACTACTGCCTGGCTTAAGGCGTAAGAATCAAAAAATGAAAAACCTATTTACATAATGTAAAAATATTTGAGCCGGCCATCGGGAAACAACAACCATTTTTTTTTTTTTATAGGGGAAGCGTGACCTCTGGCGGTCGATTTAACAGAGTGTTTTAATCTATGAAATATAATTTTAAACAAAATAATCCCCTTATATAACATTTATATATATTTGTATTCCTGTAGAAGGGCAGAGATGCCCCAAAAGCTTGTGATGACATTAGTAAAATGAAAAGAAACTCATCTCCAGAAGCCTGTTGTATTATTTGAATTCATAATCAGATTCAAATCAAGTACATATATTCCAGTGTAGATAATCTACACCCAAGGGGGGTATCTACACACTTACTCCCGCTGGAAAGTCTTATTGTTGCCGGGTATATCCAGGAGATTCAAATCAAGTACATATATTCCAGTGTAGATAATCTACACCAAGGTATCTACACACTTACTCCCGCTGGAAAGTCTTATTGTTGCCCGGTATATCCAGGAGATTCAAATCAAGTACATATATTCCAGTGTAGATAAACTACACCAAGGTATCTACACACTTACTCCCGCTGGAAAGTCTTATTGTTGCCCGGTATATCCAGGAGATTCAAATCAAGTACATATATTCCAGTGTAGATAATCTACACCAAGGTATCTATACACACTTACTCCCGCTGGAAAGTCTTATTGTTACCCGGTATATCCAGGAGATTCAAATCAAGTACATATATTCCAGTGTAGATAATCTACACCCAAGGGGGGTATCTACACACTTACTCCCGCTGGAAAGTCTTATTGTTGCCGGGTATACCCAGGAGATTCAAATCAAGTACATATATTCCAGTGTAGATAATCTACACCCAAGGGGGGTATCTACAAACTTACTCCCGCTGGAAAGTCTTATTGTTGCCCGGTATATCCAGGAGATTCAAATCAAGTACATATATTCCAGTGTAGATAATCTACACCCAAGGGGGGTATCTACACACTTACTCCCGCTGGAAAGTCTTATTGTTGCCCGGTATATCCAGGAGATTCAAATCAAGTACATATATTCCAGTGTAGATAATCTACACCCAAGGGGGGTATATACACACTTACTCCCGCTGGAAAGTCTTATTGTTGCCCGGTATATCCAGGAGATTCAAATCAAGTACATATATTCCAGTGTAGATAATCTACACCCAAGGGGGGTATCTACACACTTACTCCCGCTGGAAAGTCTTATTGTTGCCCGGCATATCCAGGAGATTCAAATCAAGTACATATATTCCAGTGTAGATAATCTACACCCAAGGGGGGTATCTACACACTTACTCCCGCTGGAAAGTCTTATTGTTGCCCGGTATATCCAGGAGATTCAAATCAAGTACATATATTCCAGTGTAGATAATCTACACCCAAGGGGGGTATCTACACACTTACTCCCGCTGGAAAGTTATTGTTGCCGGGTATATCCAGGAGATTCAAATCAAGTACATATATTCCAGTGTAGATAATCTACACCCAAGGGGGGTATCTACACACTTACTCCCGCTGGAAAGTCTTATTGTTGCCCGGTATATCCAGGAGATTCAAATCAAGTACATATATTCCAGTGTAGATAATCTACACCCAAGAGGGGTATCTACACACTTACTCCCGCTGGAAAGTTATTGTTGCCGGGTATATCCAGGAGATTCAAATCAAGTACATATATTCCAGTGTAGATAATCTAAACCCAAGGGGGGTATCTACACACTTACTCCCGCTGGAAAGTCTTATTGTTGCCGGGTATATCCAGAATATTCAAATCAAGTACATATCTTACATTGTAGGTAATCTACACCAAGGTATCTACACACTTACTCCCGCTGGAAAGTCTTATTGTTGCCCGGTATCGCCACGTGGGTGGAGAGCGAGTCCCCGAATCTGACCGCCCCAGGTTCCAGGGTGGGTTCAGGGGCCTGGGCACAGCTGCTGAGCAATCTACGGTCAGCCAGAGGCAGATCCACAGAGACTGGTGTAGGCAGATGTCCAATGGCCACTGAGAAGAACTGGACGGGTTTGCTGAACTCAATCAGCTGGTCGTTGATCATTAAATCTTGTAGGACTCCATCAAAGAGACGTTCTGAAGCTGCCTTGACTCCAATCGTTACGTCAGTAGGTACGCCTCCTAAGAACAAGCCTTTGCCGACTGGAGCATCGATCTTTGATTTGGATCCTTGGGGCAATCGGGACGTATCGATTTCAATGTCATCCACCTTCAGCGTCAACCTGACACAAGACAACCACAACTGTCAACTTTATTGTGTTGCGAAAACAGGTAAAAATCACACATCATTCCCTACAAGAACTGACTGGTTCAATGTAAAATCACGATATACGCTCACAATGTAGTCACCGATTGACAAAACTTAAAGAATTAAAAGGTCTTTGATATCGCCGGTCATCTATATATATATATATTTTTTGGAGACAGAGGCAATTTTGTTCATAATTAGTTATCTCGTGTGTCTTTAATAAAGGTCATTGTGTATCAAATATCTTTCAGAGTTTTTATATGAATCCTGATATACATGTTAAAAGGTACAACTTCCTTAAGTTACTAGTGATTATGTAGGATGAAAAATATGGGACGTTCAGCTAACTGCAATATTGGTAAATAAACACTTTTTGATGCAATATATGTCTTTTTAATTGAAAACATATATGTACAATAAATGTCAATTTTTTTAAAATCATATTACGTGTCAATATAAATGTGTTTATATATATACAATCCTGCCCATAAGTCCTCCTCTACGTGGCGGGCGGGAGAAGCAGTACAAGTAAGGGACTGCCCTGTAGTACGGTGTCGTGAGCCCCGAGCCGCCACGGTAACCGTGAACAGGGAACTCTGAAATGTGGCTGACTAACGGGGCAATGACACCTCACCTTTCCATGGAGCAACAATGGACAAGACACCACCACCACCATATATATATATAATAATTCGATTTGATTTGGGCCCTTTTTTGTTTGTTGATTGTTATGTAAGACCCTGTTGACTTACTGTAGGGTTGGTGGCTTGTGGTGGTTGATGGCGCAGTCGTTTGGTCGAAATGGTAGGTTTTTCACAGGGGAAATAACGAGAGGGAACACAGGATGGGGTTGAAAATAGGACCTCGCGAATTAGGGAGAGAAAGTTTTGAGACTAATGGAGTACTTGACTATCACATTCTGAACATAGAAGTTACCTTGGTGAGAAGGGCTTAGCACGTCTTGCTTCTCGTCAGGTCGAGCTCCCAACTGACTAACTTTGAGTCCGAGATTTTCCTCGTTAACTCTCTATGCCTCTCATTGGTTGAAATCGTCTACGTGGTTACATTTGGTTGGCTGTTAGTTTTTCATTCTGAACTCTGATTGGATATTGGTACCTCCATTGTCTTTTCATGATTACCATCCTCCAGGAAGAAGAAGGTCTTTGAACTTAGTTTTATAGTTCCTGGGTAATAACCTTTACTTCCTGAATAATGAAATCCTGGCAATGGCTGTTCTCTCTTTTTCGCGAGGCCTAACTTTTATTAAACCTTTTTGGACGATACATTGCATATATTGTGGTGGGGTTACATCTTGGTATATACAAATTATGACATATACAATCATGTCAATTTATTTATCTTTCAACCTGTAGCCGCTTAGAAGCGGAGTGATTCTATTCTACTTTCTGTGAGCGCTTTATTTGGAGTGTAGAGTTAGCATAAATCGAATGATACATACGGGAGAAATACATTACTGCTAAAATTTTCTTTATTTTTTGAAAATAACACATTTCACATCCTGTAGGTTGAATTGATGGCCGGTGGATTCTTCATGCTGATATATTAGTGATCTATTGTCGCGATTTTTTATATTGCGGATGTGTTCTTTGATTCTAGTGGCGACTGTTCGGCCGGTTTCTCCTATGTATGAGGCGTTGGCAAGATACTGAATATATGGCGTTATGCTGATGCTATATCGTGTTTAAACCTTCGAATATATTATACAATCTATGTTAAAATTTTGTTTATATCCGAATCCGAAACTATTATAGACACGTATGATTCTTTTTTTTTTTTATTAAACAATTTATACTTCCCTTACTGCAATTGAAAAATTAACAGTCTAGAATCAGTATCACTATAAAAGGAAAACCGAAAAATGCAATATAACAGCGGTATGGTAGATTAAACTGGGGAAACTGCTGGGAGGGTTCACCACTGATGAGCCAGGCCCTCCAATTAATTTTTTTAATTGCAGTAAGGGCAGTATAAATTGTTTAATATTAAAAAAAAAAAGAATCATAGGCGTCTATAATAGTTTCGAATTTTCATAAAAGATGTGTAGCGCTAATGCATCGTGTTATATCAGAATATTAGGACTTCAACCTGAAAGATACCAAACTTACTTTCTGTTCTTCTTAATGATTGTAGCGGTGTGGAAGCTGTTGTCATTCAGAGGACTGGAAGACTTGAGGATGGCCTGACCCATGCCAGAGCTCAGTCTGGCTTCCAGGTATCCTCCTCTGGTTAGAGCCACGGAGTAGTAATGCTACAACACCGTTACACGAATCTACTATATGTTTGATTTGGGTGAAAAAGAAACAA